TCCCTCCCCCTCTGACCTAAAAAAATAATTTTAAATGAGGTTTCCTAAAATAAAAATTGCTATTATTTTTAATGTTTTATTTTAATATAAAATTATTTTTACCTTATTTGAGTAGCAGTATTACAAGATGCATCAGTCTTCATATTTGCTGAGGGAGATATCAAATCCCCTCCGACCTAAAAATTTTTTTACACATTTATATATGATTCAACAACAAACAACAGTTATGTGTTTTGGCTTTTAGTTAATGATTAAGATAAGTTTCCAGTAATGAAACTATATAATAATCATTGTTAACGATAGACACGACGCACAGTGTTCTATTTTGCTTATCTGGCAGCACTTTATTCAAAAATCGAAAGTTAACGAAAATAAAATCTATGCATGTATTTCAGTTCCTAAATGTTCAAAGCATCTAAAAATGATAAGATACTAAGAAAAACAATAATGCTTTAGCTGAGTCAGTGATCAGAATTTGTTTATTTTATAAAGTAGATATATTAACTATTTTTTCAGTCTTATTAGATTGTGTGCTCAAGCTATACGTATTGATATTTCCTACTTTTTGATATATTTTAAATATATACTCATATTTGTAAACTGTTTGCTTGGTTCAGACAAACAAGATAAAATAAAACTACTAAAGTGAAGTAAGTTTTAAGGTTTTAGTAAAAGTACTGTTGTTTTCAAAAGTTTTGAATCACATGTTTTTTTTTGTTTTTACTATACCTCTCCATAGCTGAGGGAACTATTACTGTCAATAAGTATACTTTTTTTTTAAATTGTATTGAGATTGGTGTGTTGGTAAAACACTTACTTTGTAAGCAAGCGCTACAAAGATAAAAACCACATTATTACTGGCATTACAATGCTTACCGTTTTATCCGCACAGCAGTTTTGTTTGGAGAGGTGTTCTGCCAAAATAAGTTTAAAAAAAGATTGCAATAATAATAAATTTTAAAAAAATTAGACTTCCTCAAATATAGCAGACCCCAGGGTCACAATGCTTACAGAGGCTTTTTACTGCTATTTATTGGATTGGGTAGATGAATATAATACTTCAAACTATATATACCTATAGTTTGAAGTAATGGATTCTGAAATTACAGGTACTTTAATTCATTTTTAAGGATTTTATCTTATTTTTACTCAGATAGTGTTTTTAACATTATTTTTTAAATTCTAGTAAGCTTTTAAAAAATATACCCCATTTCTCCTCAATAAACTAAATAAATTCTTGTAGAATAATGTTTTCTCTATATGATGTATAAAATTCATCTGCAAATATTTGCAATATTAGACTTTATGTCTGTTTTTTCACAGAAAGTGACGAAATTACCAATGAAAAATTATTCAATTTGTGGAGAACTACTAAATCAACTGAGCGAGTTAATATAATTTGTGAATATATTTTGAAAAGTTGGAAAGTGGATAGCAGGCCTTGCGATGAATAAGAGCTGCGCGACGCATAAGCACGACGTGATTTTTGACGTCATTAAATTCTTTTTATTTGCTTTTCATATTTATCGACATTAACTGCACCAATTTATTTAATTACCGCAAAACTACTTTAAATCGTTTATGTAGAAATGTTATTATTTAAAAATGTTTTGGAATGTTTCGTTTTTTAAAATGTAAAAACATTTGTTTATTTTCTCGAGTTTGTCACGTTTTGTCTATACTAAACGAATAAAAAACATTATAACTTAAATTTAAAAAAGATTATAAAATATGCTAATATTTGATTTTTTTTTTCTTAAATATGTAATTTAAAGTTTTCAAATAATTATTTTTTCTTTTTAAAAAGTCAGCGAGTAATAAACTGGAAATTTTAATATTGTACGATTAAAAACTGTGCAATAGCTAATATTTTTACAAGCGATTTTATATAATATTTATTTATTTATTTTTATTTATTTTCATAAAGCGGTTGATAAGCACAATCACTCGTATTAATAAAAAACTTAAACGAACGTTTTGAATAGATTTTTAATGTTAACAAGGAATTTTATTTCTAGTAAAATAAAATAAAATGTTAGAATAAAAATCTTATAGGTATAAAAGAAATATTTTAGCGAAAAAATTATTCTTAAAAATTATTCTTAAAAATTATTCGAAAAACTATTGACGTTCTATTTTTCAGCAGCTGTTCTTGAGCACGCTTCGATGAGTTTCGGTAACTTTTAACATAAAAGCGATCGTTATTATTTAAGTAATTTTTTTGAGTTCTTTTTACAAAAATTTTAATAACTGTACTTTTTCATTGAATCAAGTAGAATACGTTTTAATATTAATCTTTTTTTTTTTTTATTTGCCCTCACCAATTTTTAAAATGTTTCCTCGAAATCACTCTTAAATACTTTAAATACGTCTAACAGTTAATAAATATTTTTAAATCTATGGAATAATTTTAAAACCTATCAAAACCCCTGTAAAATAATTATTTAAGTTTAAAATCTAAAACTAAAAGAAAGTATTTTTGTTCAATTTTATCGACAACGTTGCTATTGCTGAATAATTTTATTAAAATGTTAGCTTAAAAGATTTAAACTTTTTTTTTTAATTTTTTAATTTTTTCTACTTGAAAATAATGAGCATATTTAATTTTTTTAAATTCAAACTTTTATTTCAACTGCATGCGGTTTTTAAAATACTTGATTAAATGTTAAAATAATCGTCAATTACTTCATTAAAATTCCGCTCAAAAATATCTTTAAATATACTCAAACAAAAAATTTTTTGCTCGACGCAAATAGCCCTAGCTACACGCAAAATCGCCCTTGGACGACGTAAAATTCACATTGCCCGACGCTTTATCGCAAGGCCTGGGATAGTATTTCTGATTTAGAAAAACGAAATCTGAAAAATCAAATTTCATTTTTTTCGATTAAATTAAAGCAGTTATGGGAGCAAGCTCGTCGCAGCCATGCATATTTTGTTACGTAATATGCAAGTTGGCTGAAGCTGGTTTTTGAAAGAAATTATTTTTCAGAAGAAGATCTAGAAGCTAGTAGTTCTTCTGTTGCTGGCCGTCCATCAAAAGCTTTTGAGAAATGCTTCTTTAAAGTGCAGAAGCGCAAAGCTAAAAAGTTACTTGAAGATAAATTTTGCTAGCCGCCGAATTAGCAGTTAGAGCTGAAGGAAAACGAGATACGGCAAATTTATTTAAAGAATTATCAAGCGCCTCGCCGGAATGTGCATCAAAAAGCCCGAATAAGTATTGAAAATTAGGTGGAACCTATGCAACCCTAAAGGGCACTTGCAATGATAATTAATTACAAATTATCTACCCATCAATATAAAAATATAAGAAAAGAAGCTAATGCATCAGGGCATCGAGTGTATCCATCATATAACAAGGTTTTGAAAGAAAAATATAAATGTTACCCCCCAGAAAATGGTATCACTGTGACCGATATAAGTGCCGAAGTTACACTCCAACATTTACTGGATTTGACGGCAAGGCGATTGTGTCTATTACAGAAAGAAGTATTACTTTCTGTTGCTGAGAAAAATGAAAAGTTAAATTTGATTTGCAAATGGGGTTGTGATGGGATCTCAAATCAAAGCAGATACAAACAACTTTCAGCACAAAAGGCTAACGATGAAAATTTATTTTCAATTGCGCTTGTACCCCTTAGATTATTAATGAGATCCAATACCATTATTTGGAAAAATCCTAGACCAAGTTCAATGAGATATTGTTGTATTATTCGTTTTTCGTTTAAAAAAGAAACAAACGATGTGATAAAAGAAGAAACTAGATATGTAGAAGACCAAATATCAAAATTGGTACCCACAATTATAGATATAGACGATGTGCAGTTTGAAATAAATTTTAAATTGTTATTAACGAGATAGACGGTAAAGTAAGTAACTCGCTAAGCAAAAATAGTTCAACACAAATGTGTTACATATGTGGTGCCAAACCAAAAGAGATGTTACAAGAAAAGCTCACATCTCAACAAGACAAAGAGAAAATGTATTCCTTTGGTATATCCCCAGTCCATTGTTGGATTCGCTATTTAAAGTTCATTTTACATTTATCCTATAAATTATGCATAAAAAAATGGCAAGCTAGAACGCAAGAAGGAAAGGAAAGTGTGAATGAGAGAAAACAACTAATTCAAAGATTATTTGAAGATAAACTTGGGTTATTTGTTGATAAACACAAACAATAATTCGGTACAACAAATGACGGCAATACTGCTAGAAAATTTTTCGAAAATCCGCATATAACATCAGAAATCACTGGAGTAAATGAGGAATTAATACATAGATTCAAAATTATTCTTCATACTTTAGCCAGTGGATTCCAAATAAATTTAGAAAAATTTCATCAATATGCAAATGAGACTAAATATTTATACCAATCTATGTACCCATGGTATTACTTGCCAGCAAGTATTCATAAAATATTAATACGTAGGAGTGATATCATTTCTACATGCATTCTTCCTTTGGGAGAATTGTCAGAAGAAGCCCAGGAAGCTTTAAATAAAAGTTATAGATTTTATCATGAGTACTTAACTAGGAAGATGACGAGAAAGGACACCATTTGGGATATATTAAATAGATTTATTTTGTATTCTGATCCAATTATGTCCAACTATTACTTACCACCTCGAAAGAATTCAAAAACTTTTCATCCGGATACAATCAAAATGTTAATTTGTGACGAAATCGGGCATTCGGAAAATAGTGACAGTGATATGAGTGATTCTGATTAAACAATTTATTATTTTAGTTTTGTTTATAAACTTGTTTAGGTTATAAAAATATTTCAATAAACAATCTTAAATCTATTGAAGTTAAATAAACAAAGTGTTAAATTTCAACTCATTGATATTACTATGCTGAGTAAGTTTTTAAAAGATTATTATTATGTAAATATTGGCTTTGCATATAATTTTTAATAATTTTATATCTATTTTATATAAAATTTTAATTAAAATTGCAGCTAAAGGTATTTTTATAGAAAAAATAATAAATTTAAGACAAATAATCAATGAAATAATACACAAGATAATTAAGTTCCGCTAGATTCGCGAAATAGAACACTGTGCGACGTGAACGTAAGCCAAAAACCGTCTATAAAAAAAATTGCAAGTTCCACTACTTGCTGCACATTAATTTTGCAAGTTTCACTACCTGCAAAATTCTGTACATTTAAGTTGCAAGTTCCACTACTTGCTGTACATATATTTTGCATGTTCCACTACTCGCTGTACATATATGTTGCAAATTCCACGACTTGCTGTACATATATTTTGCAAGTTCCACCACTCGCTGTAGATTTATGTTGCAAGTTCCACTACTTGTTGTACTTATATATTGCAAGTTCCACTACTCGCTGTACGTTTATGTTGCAAGTTCCGCTACTTGCTGTACATATATTTTGCAAGTTTTACTACTTGCTGTACGTTTATATTGCAAGTTCCACTACTTGCTTTACATATATTTTGCAAGTTCCACTACTTCCTGTAAATTTATATCACAAGTTCCACTATTAGCAGTACATTTACAATGAAAATTCCACTACTTGTTTAATCTTTATTTTGCAAGTTTTAATTCTTGCTGTATATTAATTTTGCAAGTTCCACAATAAGATAGCATAAGAAATTACGAAAATACTAACTCACCTGATACAACATCAGCAACCAGCTGGAATTTTTTCAAGCTATGGTCAACAGCTTCTGTATAAGTTTCATCTGGAGCCCAGTAAGAAATTGTTTAAAAGATGCCTTTCGTTGTCTTTTTACGTTTTTCAACTCTGCCATCTGTATCATACCATTCGTGGCAGAGATACCTCCCAACAATTCTTTCACGCATAACATCATTTAAATTATCAATTTGCTTAGTATTAATATAATTTACAGATCTTCTAAAATTAAAAAAATATATATATATATAAAATAAAGTCAACATTTCCATAACATATGCAAAAATGTTAGGAAACATGACACGAAAATACTATAAAAACCTATAAAAATATAACACAATAAAGTTCTACTAACCAACTATTTTTTCTAATCGATCTAGAGTGATGAAAGTAAATAACAATTTAAAAATTGAATAATAAAAAATCAAAATATAATTAGTAAGTGTAAAAAAATAAGTAAATAAATAAATGAAAGCAAAAGACAATTAACCTAATTTAGCTATGCAAGCATCGTCTGACAATTTTCTAGCCTTTGATTTTTTTTCTTTAAAACTAGTTTATTTTTCATATTAGACATTATATACTCTAAATATAATTACATTGTTATAATAATCAAAATTTATTAAAAATTTAAGCAAAGTGTCATTGAATTGAAAAAAAACCTTAACTATAAACTGAATTAAAAAAAATCTTAACTATAAACAGACACAAATATTTTAATCTGCTTTTAGTTTAAAAACTTTTTACATTATAAAATATATACATACATATATATACCCAGCCGGCACAATGACGTTGAAATAACGTTGAAACAACGTCGCAAACCGACCATATGCCACGTTGAAACAACGTTGAAATTTGGTTGAATTGGAAATAAAATCCGACGTCGAAATCTACGACGTTGAAACAACGTTGATGATTACGTCGTTTCAACGTTGATCTAACGTCTTATCGACTACATATCAACCATATTTCAACTTTGAATAGGTGATATATTCGATTGATACGTAGTTGATAAGACGTTAAAACAACGTTGAAACAACGTAAATTCAACGTTGATTTTTGTTTTTTATTTTGGTTAAATCCAATTAACTAAAAAATTTTCTGAACTTTAATTGCAATAAATTAACACAATAAAAAAGCAATAATTTGCGCAGAGGATATTATATTTCACGTAAATTAATCAGATACAACTAAATTGCTTCAAAGGACTTTATATACAATGTAAATAAAATAAAATGTTTGAAAAAAAAAAGTTTTATTTATCAGTATTATATTTATCAATTTATCAATAATAACTATTATCAATAGTTCCAGAACAAATAGGAAAAAGTATGAATGTTATACATCGGGTTAATCGCCATATACGCGCCGACCACCACCATTTGATCTGTCGAGTGCGTATTTTAATAAATTCATTATTCCTTTTCTTATTTCGGCAACTGTAGCAGTCACTTTAATTGACAAAACTCTCTCTATAAAAAAGGTATTGCCTGAGTAATTTGCATCAAATACATCAAAAAGTTAAAAATAAAATAGCATTAAAAAAACGAACTGTGATTTTTAAAAATATATAATTTTACACTTAACTTACAAGTAAATACCTAATGTTTGTTCCTTTAAATTTCTCTTTACCTTTACCGTCAGCCATATTAAATTTTGATTATAAACCATTGGTCAACAACCTACATTATACATTGTTATTAATATCATAGTAACAAAAATTGATATACATGTCTTTTAAAATACAAATTATTCTTAATGAAAAATAGCACAAAGGTTTCTTACCAAAGGTTTCTCACCCAACGCAAAAGGTTTCTTACCAAACCGTAATGCAAGTAAGAAAAAGAATTGATACAGGGGAAGAGTTTGGTCCAAAGAGACCACCTTCTAAACGCAAGAAAACACCAAGAGCGGACAGTATAATTAGAAATATCTGCCTGGAAAACAGAAAAAAAGCCACTAAGCTTATCCATGAAGCTGTAATTGTTGTGTCAGACCAGACCATTTGTAGAAGGCTAAAAGAAGAGGGATTGATGTCCAGCCGAAAATGTCAAAAATTGACAAAAAAATTTAAAAATAATGTCAAAAATCTTATATTTATGCAAGATGGTGCAACTTGCCACACAATAAAAACTGTTATGGCTTAGTTGATGTATTGCTATAGCCAGACAACTCGCATGGTCTTAACCCCATAGAAAATATTTGGGAAATAGTAAAGCAAGAGATTGGAAAAAAAAAATCTTACTAATAAGCAAGATCTTATGGAAGAGATTATCAAGATCTAGCATAATAACCCAGAGTTGACAGAAACTATAAAAAATAAATTGCAAGCATGCCACAATGCAATGAAGCAGTTATTGCAAATAAAAGTGTTTTTGCAAAATATTTATACTTTATATATACAGTTGTGTGACAATTTATTATGGCCACCTATGAGTTTTGATCATTTTGAAATTTAATCTCATTTTTTTCATATGAAGAGTAAAAATTCATTATTGAAAGTTAATCTTCTGTTTAAAATAAAGTTTTAACTTAAAAAATCAATCCTTTTTTTATGCTACTGGCAACACTGTCACTTTTGACAGCCATTTTGTATGATGTCATCTTAATTATAATCTTTTTGCTGTACACTTGTTAAGTTTTATTACCAGAGTTTTGAATTCTTTTATTAGGTTATCGTCATATTACTTATTTAAATCAGTAAAAATTTCTTGAATATTTCTTTTTATTTTAAATTAAAAATAGTTGTATTTAGTTTGATATTTTTAAAGTTATGAGTACCAAAGCAAATTCTTAACTGTTATGTGATACTGATATGTGATATCTTATTTTAGTTATGAGGGAAAAAAAAAACTTGTCACAAAAAATTGCTGAAATCAGGGCACTTTTAATAAATACTGATCATTCTCAATGAAAAATAGCCAGAAAATATGGTATTTCGTGGGTATCTGTACAAAATATACACAAAAAAAATGCTAATATGGAGAACTTGATGCCAAAGAGGGTTGGTAAATGTGGAAAGAAAAGAATCCTAACACCATGCAGGAAATGAATACTTACCAAGATTGTTCTAGAAAATAGACCGGCCACCAACAACAAAATAACTAATAAGCTGGGCCAATCTGGAGTCAAAATGTTGAAGAGAACGGTCCAACATTGCCTACACAATCTTGGTTACATTTCACGACGTCCAGCTAAGAAGCCTAAACTGACACCAAAAATTGTACAAAAAATGCTTGAGTGGACAAAAAAGTATAGGAATTTAACATATGATTGGTAATTAATAAAATTAATTTAGATGAATTTAAAATATCCACTTTCTTACACCAAACTTTAAATATTCATTCAATATTCACTTAACAATCCTTGTATAATATTTGAAGGTATGCTTTAGCGGCGAGAGTACTTTTAAGTTTCAAAAAGAAAAAAAGGGAAAAAATACTTATTGGACTGCATCATGCAAACTGTCAAACACCCCACCTCTGTGATGATCTGATCAATGAAATGTGTAAAAGAAATAGGAAGGTTCTATATTGCAGAATGAAAAATGTTACAGTTACAATATAAAAATGCTGGAACAAAGATTGTTGTCACAATTGGCAGAATAGTTTAGTCCAGGTGAAAAAAAAGCCTTCATGCAGGACAGGGCATGACCATGTCGCACAGCTAAATCAGTTAAAAAATATCTATCAGAACAAAATATTCCATTACTTGATAGGCCAGGAAACTCTTCTGACCTAAATCCTATAGAAAATGTTTGGGCGCTCCTAAAGAAGCAAATATCTGAAAAAATTATTACAAATAAAGTGTATTTCATAGAAAGAATTATTCAACATTAGAACTATAATAAAGAATTGAAGGAAATGGCTCAAAAATGCATTAAAAGTATGCCAAAAAGGGTTCCTGCAATTATAGAAGCAAAGGAGGAATCACCAAATATTGATCTTGAATATATTTGCAGTAATATTTGAATAATAAAATTTATTTAATTTGATAATAAAATTTATTTAATAATATTTTAATAATAAAATAATAAACAATATGTTAAATGTTTTTATTTGTCAAAAAAATACCCATTTCTTAAATAAAAGTTACTTTGAGTACATAAATCACAAAAAAATACTAAAATAATAGACTTTGAAACTTGATAATTTTGAAAAATTGTGGGTGGCCATAATAAATTGTCACACAACTGTATTTTATATAACTTATCATAATAATCAATAAATATTCAAAATGTTCATCTTTATTTATTTGTTTTTATCAAGTACAACTTAATAAATAAAATAAAAAAACTTTAAATTGCACTATTAATATTATATATATATATATATA